ACAGGAGAACTCTCATGGTTTGTTTCTCACATCTGAAGCAACAAAGATTCATCCAACACCCTGAAACCGCCGACTGGTTCTGTTGGTGTCAGCGTGACCCGCTGCCGTATCGGTGCTGACGGTGATGCCTTCAACAGCCTGTCAGAAAGTACGACAGCTGTTTATCAGCAGGCTGAGGGCCACAGGAAGGTCACGCTGTCTTGTGTTAGTCCGGGGAGATAGCAGAACCCAGAACCACCTGATCGGACCCGATGTTTGCTGTGGATTTATCGTTCTGGTCTAATTAAAAACCTCGTTACTGTTGACACCATTGTGATGAGTTAGTGAGCAGAGGGGCGGGGTCATGTTTGATCTGTGTTATTAACCTGCTGACGCTCCAGTGATGAGGATGAGTCTGGTCTGGACGTTTTAGGACTGATCCAGTTTCATGAGCGCATCGTGTTTGTCTCCAGTTACTGTACATTCCCATCATTGCTGAGAGTTTTTTAGGCAAACTGAAAACATTTTGGTTTAAAAAGGTGAGACGAGACCAGATATTTACTTCCTGTTACGGTAAAGTCTGTATTTAAAAGGAAGTGGAAGAAAGGAGACCTTGTGCATAAAATGGAATGCAACCATGGAGCCGTTGGGATGAGAGTATGCATGCTCCTCCGAGTCGGAGAACACCGTTCTTAACTGGAAAAAGGTGGAATGCTCCCTCTGGGGTGGGACGGGCTCTGCCTTGAGCCGAGTTCTAGCGTCCTGGCTTGTTGATGGAAGGATGGAGGAGCAGACCAGGGCTTTGGCGGCTGTCATGAAGATGCTGATCTGGATTTAAGGATGCATGTTAAACCCTTCTAAAAGATCTGGTTAGGAGTTAAAGATGCTCTTCCAGCCGAGTTGGGTCAGCTTCCTGGTCTCCTCCCTCTGGAGATTTTCCAAACACTATAAGGAACTTCTGGGAGAGATCCAGGAGCATGGGCGTCCCTCATGGGCCTGGTACCTCCACAACCCAAAGCTGGACGGGTAGATAATCCTTCTCTTGAAGGTTTTCTTTTCATCTACAAACTAGTTTTGTTTTTTTGGGGGGTTGAAAATTCCTTAAAGGGTCTATAAGGAAGTGTGACAGCCAAAACATGTATAGAAATAATAAATGTCTTCTTCATACGTTCTCCTGCAATGCCCTGGTCCTGTAGAATGAGCCCTGGTATTTTTACTGTGATTGCCTGTTTTTCTGTAAAATCACAGAAAACGAGAGATGCTCGGGTCGAGCAGGCTGCTTCATGCGCGTTCACGCTCAGGCATCGCCCGTAGCATTTGCTATCCGTAGCTTTAGCAGCAGAGAGAGAGGCAGTGCCACTTTGTCGCTGTTCCTAACGCCTAGTGACAAAGCTAGCTACATTTCTGAGGACCCTTAGCTACTTTCTGTAGAACTTTCTTCTAGATATTTCCTGCAAATTAGCAACAAAATAGCCATTTTCACTCCGAACCGTTCTTTGAACGTTGTTTCAGCTGTCATCAAGGATATAAATGTTACAGATACAAATGATGCCACTGGTGCTTTAGCTCACCTAGTAAGATGTCTGACTCTCATGCAGAAGACCTGGGTTTGATTCTGGATGTGAACATAAATTATTTAGATTTTATTTTTTACATTAATGGTATATTTTTTTTACAGTAAGATGCCCAAATTTTTATTTGAGACTCGCCGAACGGCATTGAATTTACAGAAAAAAAAAGATGTGGGTTCAACTTTCATTTTGGAACAATTTTTCAAGCAAGGGAAGGGAATGATCTGAGCATGCAGGAGGACTGACCCATCATAATCTGTCGGCTGTGCTGAAGAGAAAGCTACAGAAC